TATTATTTATAAAGAACTCAATGTGGCGAACATACCGCCTCCTGTTTTCCACACAATCAACAAACCAGTGAGGTGAGTTGGGCTAAGGGAGAATGACTGGCCCAAAGTCATCCAGCTGATTTTTCACATCTAAAGCAGGACTAGAATTCTCCTGGTTCCTAAGCCAGCACCTTAGCCACTAGACTCAACTAGCTATGGGAACGCGGGAGTGTCTTTCTCAGGATACACAATCTAAGGTTCACCACTCAGCAATAATATTGTAACTTCCCTTAGTGAACTGAAACAACATTAATTTCCTATGTTAACCACATAGAATTGGTTTCACGCCCTTCCCTTTCCCGCCCTTCCAATCCTGTGTTCCTTCCAATAGTTTAATAGCAATAGCACTTAGACTTATATACTGCTTTACAGTGCTTTACAGCCCTCTCTAAGCGGTTTACAGAGTTAGCATATCGCCCCCAACAATCTGGGTCCTCATTTTACCCACCTCGGAAGGATAGAAGGTTGAGTCAACCCTGAGCCTGCTGAGATTCAATCTGCCAAACAGCTGGTAGCCGGCAGTCAGCAGAAGTAGCCTGCAGTACTACACTCTAATCACTGAGCCACCATGGCTGTTAATGATGTTTATTTTAGGGACGGCTTGTTACTGAGATGATCCTTACCCCCTTTAACAGTAATTTATTTACAACTCTGAATTTTTGGTGACTGTGTCTCATCAGTTTGGGGAAAATATGCACTCCCTGTATTCTCTTTCATGCAAGGTTCTCAGTCAGCCTTCTCTTTGAAATGCTTTACCAATGTGGAAATTTCAGAAATGTATTTCAGGCCCTACTTTCAGCCTCCTGCAGGGATTGTGTGTGTGTGTGTGTGTGTGTGTGTGTGTGTGTGTGTGTGCATGCATGCATGCATGTGTGCACATGTTCGCTGTCTTCAAAATCGAAAATCGACATTTGAGTTTTCCAAAGAGATGTACAAACTTTCCTTCCTTCTTCAAGAAATGTTTCGCCGGCTCTAATTCTACCACAGCACATTTAGTTATTGAATGTCCTGTATGTGCCACCCCATCTCATCAACAACGGATGCCTTACAGGTGATTAAAAAGCTAAAGGTGAAACAATGAAGATGAAGAAGAGTTACATAAGAATTAAGACCAAGGGAACAGACAGCATGGGGGTAAGTTATGCCAAAAATAAGAGTTGCAATGTTGCCATTCCCGTCATTGCATTATTTGCTGCTACGGTCAACAGCTTTGCCTGCCCTTACCCGCCCAAGTTCTTTGTCTTCCAAAGCCAGGACACCGGTACTCTCTGTAAACAGCTTCACCTTCACAGCTGGAAGAGCGTGCGTCGTGGAAAAGTCACCCTGAGTTCCCCAGCTGTGAAAACATCCACAAGAAAGAAAGACATTAGGAAGAAAAAAGAAGAAGCAGCAATAGCGTGCCACCTCAGCACTGTCACCTCGGAGGGGGAAAAGGTTAACGCAAATGTCACCAACTGTCACATATAGTTAAAAAAAAAAAGCAACAGGAGTGCCATTGTGCTAATTAATTAACGTGGTAAAAAAACCTGCAAGACAACAACTCAGCAATGTTGAAAAACTTCCTCTGGAAAGGCAACAGATTAACACAAAGCCAAATGTATTTTTGGAGGTTCTTCAGCTGGGTGGATGTTTATTGTTAGTTTGTTTGTCTGAGATGTTACCCGGTTGGATAATGAAACATCTGCAAGAAAACAACCAGTCTCAGAGAGCACCAATGACCCAACAGTTCAACCCTGAGCTACAATATCCTCTTCTATCAATAGTTAAGGGGGCACATGGGTAGAAGAAAGGGAGTGATGGTAGATATCACAACTGGGAACAAGGGTCTCCAGATCATTGAAATCAGTGTTCATTTACATCAGGGATGTCAAACTCCTGGCCCACAGGCCGATTGTGTCATGTGCTGGCCACACCCATGCCAGTGGTGCGTTCAGGTGTACTGGTGCCTGCTGGGAGCACTGGATACCATTCTGGTATGTTGCTCTGGAGGGCCCACCTTCCCGCCCACCCTCCTTACCTGTATTTGAGTTCTTCGGTGCATCACACATGCACAGGGAACGTATGTACCTGTGCGATGCTCTGCCAAGCATTGTGGAGGTAAGGATGCGCACATTCAAGTGGTGGATGCCGGGCCGCATTGCACCGTACTGGTTGCAACGGGGTCTGGAACCCACCACTGACCCACGCCCAGTTTAGTGAAGGGGAAAAAGTCCCAATATGCCACGTGCCATGATGATGTGAATTTGACACTCCTGATTTACATAAACTGCCTTCTCGCTGTGAACATTAGCTCTAGAAGGAAGGGGGGGAGCTCATAAATGAAAAATTAACACTATCAATGTTCTTGAACAACACTGATATCAGCATTTGTTTGATGTTTTTGATATTTATATTGTATGCTGCTTGGAGCCATTTAGGAGTAAAATGGTTAAACAAACCACAAGTACTGCAGATAATCTGCCAAAATGAAATGATGAACAAACTCACGCAAAACAAGGAGACAAAGATGCAAATGAAGAATCNAGCTGAGCCAAGGCTTAGTGGCTAATACAACTGCCTAATATTTAAAAACACACACACACACACACACACACACACACACACACACACACACACACATGCACACACACACACACACACACACAAACGTTCAAATTATCCTTCTAATTTTTCTCTCTGGACAAACCCTCCTCTATCTTTCTTTCTTTTTTCTAATTAGAGATTTTCCTAGCCTTCTCTCTGAAACTCCTCACTTCTTTATTGCCTGATTTGTACTGTCTTTTGGTATTTAACCAAATAGTTGCTGTCTAGTTATAAAAACAATCCATTCTTATAAAAATAAGTAATAGACTCCATACCACTTTATTCTGGGTAATTCCCTCATCAAAGCTCCATAGTTTTCTTTTAGCATCTTAGGACTTTGGCTTATAAATCATGACACACTTGTTTTCAGCAGTGTATTTGTAGATACTTAAATGAGGACTTAACTTAGTAGCAGAAATTCAATTATTCAGTTAGGTTGTAATAGACTTTAAATATTGGGTGTTGTTGTTTTTTGCCTCTACTCTACTCGGTTATAGAATAAAAACCGTACATCCATGCAGAGAGTCTCATTTATCATCAACAGGTACAATAAAATTAGAGATATTACTTAATAACTTATACAAAAGATGGGGGAGGGGGGTGAAAGTAGGTGTTTTTAGCTGAAGAACAGTGAGTTATCTGGCACTTTCCAGTTAAGGTTATTAAAGTTAAATTTAAGCTTTATAGACATATGCTTTTTGTGCCCCATACAGCAGTAAGTAAAGAGCAGAGGAGGCTCAGTACAGGCAAAGCAGAGCCCAAAGGGAATTTATTGGCAATTATATCTGTCACCGAGATAAATGCTGCTGAAGGCGCTATTGGGGGAAAAAATGACATCGGCATAGAGGGGAAAAAGAAGAAACACTCGGGAGCGCGGTATCACTGGGAACCTGTTACATAATAAAAAAAATAAAAATTGTTATTATCTGCCTTAGCAGCTGGAGGAAGAAATGGACAGGCCACACTTAATTCAACTGCAGCTGTGCTGCTAACCTGAATATGTTGAATTATCTACTGATCGGCAGACATGATAAATGAAATTCATCCCACAGGTCCATAGATTCAGAGTTACTCTGGCAACCTTGCCATACCTGAGGAAGACTGTTAACAGCCTGAGAAGCAATCTCATCTCTGCTCTAAAATGAGATCAGCATTGATTTTGCATTCATCTCCGGGAAATAAATTATTGGGGTCCTCGCCTCTCCCTTCCTCTTCCTTCTAATGCTTTGGCCTGGCCAATGGAAGAAGACATGAATGCTTCTATTATTATTTATTTATTTGTTTACCCCACTGTTATTATTTATAAAGAACTCAATGTGGCGAACATACCGCCTCCTGTTTTCCACACAATCAACAAACCAGTGAGGTGAGTTGGGCTAAGGGAGAATGACTGGCCCAAAGTCATCCAGCTGATTTTTCACATCTAAAGCAGGACTAGAATTCTCCTGGTTCCTAAGCCAGCACCTTAGCCACTAGACTCAACTAGCTATGGGAACGCGGGAGTGTCTTTCTCAGGATACACAATCTAAGGTTCACCACTCAGCAATAATATTGTAACTTCCCTTAGTGAACTGAAACAACATTAATTTCCTATGTTAACCACATAGAATTGGTTTCACGCCCTTCCCTTTCCCGCCCTTCCAATCCTGTGTTCCTTCCAATAGTTTAATAGCAATAGCACTTAGACTTATATACTGCTTTACAGTGCTTTACAGCCCTCTCTAAGCGGTTTACAGAGTTAGCATATCGCCCCCAACAATCTGGGTCCTCATTTTACCCACCTCGGAAGGATAGAAGGTTGAGTCAACCCTGAGCCTGCTGAGATTCAATCTGCCAAACAGCTGGTAGCCGGCAGTCAGCAGAAGTAGCCTGCAGTACTACACTCTAATCACTGAGCCACCATGGCTGTTAATGATGTTTATTTTAGGGACGGCTTGTTACTGAGATGATCCTTACCCCCTTTAACAGTAATTTATTTACAACTCTGAATTTTTGGTGACTGTGTCTCATCAGTTTGGGGAAAATATGCACTCCCTGTATTCTCTTTCATGCAAGGTTCTCAGTCAGCCTTCTCTTTGAAATGCTTTACCAATGTGGAAATTTCAGAAATGTATTTCAGGCCCTACTTTCAGCCTCCTGCAGGGATTGTGTGTGTGTGTGTGTGTGTGTGTGTGTGTGTGTGTGTGTGCATGCATGCATGCATGTGTGCACATGTTCGCTGTCTTCAAAATCGAAAATCGACATTTGAGTTTTCCAAAGAGATGTACAAACTTTCCTTCCTTCTTCAAGAAATGTTTCGCCGGCTCTAATTCTACCACAGCACATTTAGTTATTGAATGTCCTGTATGTGCCACCCCATCTCATCAACAACGGATGCCTTACAGGTGATTAAAAAGCTAAAGGTGAAACAATGAAGATGAAGAAGAGTTACATAAGAATTAAGACCAAGGGAACAGACAGCATGGGGGTAAGTTATGCCAAAAATAAGAGTTGCAATGTTGCCATTCCCGTCATTGCATTATTTGCTGCTACGGTCAACAGCTTTGCCTGCCCTTACCCGCCCAAGTTCTTTGTCTTCCAAAGCCAGGACACCGGTACTCTCTGTAAACAGCTTCACCTTCACAGCTGGAAGAGCGTGCGTCGTGGAAAAGTCACCCTGAGTTCCCCAGCTGTGAAAACATCCACAAGAAAGAAAGACATTAGGAAGAAAAAAGAAGAAGCAGCAATAGCGTGCCACCTCAGCACTGTCACCTCGGAGGGGGAAAAGGTTAACGCAAATGTCACCAACTGTCACATATAGTTAAAAAAAAAAAGCAACAGGAGTGCCATTGTGCTAATTAATTAACGTGGTAAAAAAACCTGCAAGACAACAACTCAGCAATGTTGAAAAACTTCCTCTGGAAAGGCAACAGATTAACACAAAGCCAAATGTATTTTTGGAGGTTCTTCAGCTGGGTGGATGTTTATTGTTAGTTTGTTTGTCTGAGATGTTACCCGGTTGGATAATGAAACATCTGCAAGAAAACAACCAGTCTCAGAGAGCACCAATGACCCAACAGTTCAACCCTGAGCTACAATATCCTCTTCTATCAATAGTTAAGGGGGCACATGGGTAGAAGAAAGGGAGTGATGGTAGATATCACAACTGGGAACAAGGGTCTCCAGATCATTGAAATCAGTGTTCATTTACATCAGGGATGTCAAACTCCTGGCCCACAGGCCGATTGTGTCATGTGCTGGCCACACCCATGCCAGTGGTGCGTTCAGGTGTACTGGTGCCTGCTGGGAGCACTGGATACCATTCTGGTATGTTGCTCTGGAGGGCCCACCTTCCCGCCCACCCTCCTTACCTGTATTTGAGTTCTTCGGTGCATCACACATGCACAGGGAACGTATGTACCTGTGCGATGCTCTGCCAAGCATTGTGGAGGTAAGGATGCGCACATTCAAGTGGTGGATGCCGGGCCGCATTGCACCGTACTGGTTGCAACGGGGTCTGGAACCCACCACTGACCCACGCCCAGTTTAGTGAAGGGGAAAAAGTCCCAATATGCCACGTGCCATGATGATGTGAATTTGACACTCCTGATTTACATAAACTGCCTTCTCGCTGTGAACATTAGCTCTAGAAGGAAGGGGGGGAGCTCATAAATGAAAAATTAACACTATCAATGTTCTTGAACAACACTGATATCAGCATTTGTTTGATGTTTTTGATATTTATATTGTATGCTGCTTGGAGCCATTTAGGAGTAAAATGGTTAAACAAACCACAAGTACTGCAGATAATCTGCCAAAATGAAATGATGAACAAACTCACGCAAAACAAGGAGACAAAGATGCAAATGAAGAATCTTTGGAAAAGTTCAAAATCTCTAGTTGATGATCAAAGGCTCATCACAGGCCTTTTCAGAATCTATCCCCTTAATTATGTCTAGCAGGCTGCAGAATAATTTGCCTTCATTTGTATCACTTTTCCTTAATATTTGTAAAACAGAAAATACAGAATATTTAAAGCACAAACAAAAGGAGAAGTGAAATCAGCAACAGAGAAATATAAAAAGGATGAATTAGTTCAAGAAGTAAAATGTCACTGCAGGAGCTTAAAAAAATCACGACGGATTAAAAAAACGAGGTGAAGTAAGGATTCTGCCTTCTCTATAAACCTCAAAAAGGAGAAAACAATATGTGGATAGCAACATGGCTGGATAGTTGATTTGAATATGAGAGAGGTCATTATTGATACTAGGACATAAAACCAGATCATTAAAAAACAGTACTGTACTATGATTACACTTCCATGGTTTTTCCACTCCTTATCACTTTGACCTATGTACCACTTCGCAGTGCTTTACAGCCCTCTCTAAGCAGTTTACAGAGTCAGCATATTGCCCCCAGGAATCTGGGCCCTCCTTTTACTGACTTCAGAAAGATGGAAGGCTGAGTCACCCTTGAGCCAGTCAGGATCGAACTGCTTGCAATCAGCAGAGTTAGCGTGCAGTATTGCATTCTAACCACTCTAACCATTCTAACCACTCTGCCACCAGGTTTCTAAACTATTCTAAACTATCTCAGCTGTAAAACGGAAGAGCACATATAAGATCCCAATTTAGAACTTTTTTGCAGAATAATTGAAATTGAATTTATTAAATTATGCCAGATTCTTTTTTTAGGTTTGCAGAGAACACAAGGTACTTTTCATTATGGCTCTGATAGATTTTCAATAGTCTTCACAGCTCATTTAATTTTGTTTCTCGAAATTTCAAGCTGTGTTACCACATCTTCTTCTTTTTTTTTAATAAATGGCACATTTGTTCTTGTGAAGGTGGGCTGTTCTCTCCTCTCCCAAACTTAATAAAACACACATAGGGCTTAATGAATTGTGAGAAAGTAGCCTTTGCATTGCCATTTACAATAAAAAAGAACAGCAACGCTAGATTAAAAATGCAAGAAATATTGCCAAGTTCTTTGTTGTCTGCTGCTATCTCTATATCCAAAATATACCACTGAGCACACATCTGTATGAGTGGCAGCCCAGTTTCAAGGCCCAACAACAATGGATGGACCATCAGAATCAGATCAACTGTGCTATAAATGAAAATGGAATTAAAACTTGATGAACAAAAACATTCCTTGTCTAATAGCAGCAATTAAGCTGCTACTAATATCTGTTCGATCTGAAATCAAACAGATATTCCATGGAACATCATCTGAACTCTGCAGGTAAGATTGATCCAAAAGTTTGTTTTTGAAACATTTATTTGCAACCATAGGTTTTGGCAAAAATACCTAGAAGCTGGAAGACATAATTTCTTTCTACCATTTTCACCTTTTTAAAGCATTTTTACTTAACTTTTGGGTTCAGAGTGTCTCGTCACTCAACTCTTACTTTGGATTAAACCTCTTTGAACTCAGACCTATGAGAAACACATTTGAGAGCTGGTTATATAGTTCAAGAAAAGCCTTGATTTCCATAACACGATGCTCTTTTAATCCTTTTCTCATTCCCAGAACTAATCCTAGTGTAGTGCATAGGCTTTGCGTAGTCCTGTTTTATGACATGCACAGATATATTTAACAGAGTTGGAAGGGACCTTGCAGGTTATCTAGTCCAACCCCCTGCCCAAGTAGGAGACCCCTACATCTGCCTGTACCTAGGATCAAACTCACAACCTCCTGATTGTGAGGCAAGAGCTCCCCCTCTAGGCCAATTGATAGCAGGCTAAGCTATCATAAGAACAAGAACACTTACATCATTATGGACACAGAGTTGACTACAGTTCCTGGAGGAAAGAAAAGACATTACTCTTCTTTCATTCAACTTCAGCCTACCATGAATGCACACATCCAACTTGTGTTTTCCTGCCTCAAGTTGAAAATAATCTTTTTCTGATTTAAGGTCTCCTGACTTGGCCAGAGGATTGGACTAGAAGACTTCCAGGGTTCCTTCCAGCCATATGTTTCTATTAATTTTACGTTGCTCCAGGAAACCCAGAATATTTTAGTCAAGAAAGTCCGCTGCAGTCGTGGGTTTCGGATTTGGTTGCAACTGGCATACTGCAACGGGGCCGGACGTCCACCTCGGGCATGCACGCTGTGATGTCCCAGTTGCTCGGCGAGGTGGCACAGGCACTGTATGCAGTGCATGTGTGTGCAGTTGGCCCGTTTCCCTCAGAAAGAGGTAAGGAAC